ACTAAGTAAATTATTTAGAATATCCTTCTTCTGTTATTAAATATGATAAAAATTTTCCTTACCCAAACAATCATCCTTTTATCATAAATGAAAAGGAAATAACTTATGTTTCTAATTAATAATAAATAAATATTAAAATTCCTTTATTCAATATTTACAATTTACCTTAAGCAATAGATAATGAAAGTGATTACGTTTGTATATAAAATATTTAAGACTAATGGATTACTTAAGATTGCTTACTTTTATATTATACTAATGACTAAAATCAAATTTAATAATTGATATGCTAATGTAAAACCCAAGGCAAATAAACTCTTGTTAATGATATAAATTAAATATTTAAAAAACCAATTCATTTGAAAAATTGGTATCTTTATGCTTCCTTGTGGACTTTAGTTATTACTACTATAATTTATATGATGCAAGTTATATATTTACAATAAATTGATAAAATAGAATAAATTTAAATGGAATAAACCACGATAAAAAGAAATTAAATTAAAGATATTATTTTTAATTAAGATATTAATGACGAATAAAGAAATAAATAATTAGCTAATATTTTAAGAAACAATGGATAAATTATGAAAACAGACCCATATCATTAAAAAACTCCCAATTCAAAATAAAGTATATTTACAAAAAAATATTATTTTAATAGTATATATTTTTATTAATTTAATTTTTCATAGATTTTTAGATTATATTTTAAATAAATAAATAATTTAGTTAGTGTAATAAATAATTTGAAACTCCTGTTTAAATTTAATCTTAAAATACAACTATAAAAAGTATATATCAAAAAGGTGAATATTCAAAAAATTTATTAGAGAATCAATAATAGAAATAATTAGAATAGTCTTAAATGAAAATATAATAAATAGAAGTAAATAAGTAATATAATAAATTAGTAAAAAGAAATAAAAGACGTATTAATATGTAAATATCTCAAAATTAATTAAAATTAGATGATTAATTGATACAATAAATTAATATACAAGATATAACTTAAAATAATAAATGTGATTTAGAAAATAATGGCTAAGAAAATGGTATATAATCTCAAAATAACTAGTCTAAACTTTAAGATGCAGAAATATCTATAACTAAACCTAAAAATAATGATTTGATTAAAAGAAAAAAACATTAAGTTAGTTTAAATCAATTATAGAATATAGAAAGCTATTTAAATAAATATGTAAAAAAAGACTAAAACTGTGGAACTAAATAAAAGGATTGTTTAAAATAAGATTAAAAAGAAGAAGAAAAAAATGATTAATCACAAAACTTATAACTATAAAAAGTATTACCTAATGAAATTAAAAAATAAAATATAATTTTTGAAAAGAAAAACAAAATTTATAATTTAAATTAATTAAATGAATTTTGTATTTAGTAAAACCTTTAGTATAAAAGTAGATGTTTTTAACTTATTAGTTTACATGAATTAATTTAAATATTTACTTTCTTTAATTAATTTTTAAGCAGAACCTTTAGAATAACTTTATAATATGTAAAATATGTAATCCTTATTACTGTTAATTCTATTATATTTAATGATTTAAATTTTAAATAAAATATGATTGATAATCTATTTCTATTATTAGCTATCAATTTATTTATTATTTTAATAGAAGATATATATAAAATTAATTATAGCATATTGAAATATTTTATATATTTCTTTTTCTTTTCTATAATCATAATTTGTTATTACTATGTTTGTATTAGTATTTAAAAAAATTTTATATTAAATATAATAATTGGCTACCTTTTTATTTTATAGTATTGTTTTTTGATATTTTTATTTATTAAATTGCTTCTGCATTTATTAAATATATGTTAATTCTTTAAGTGATTTCTTATAAAATTAATAAATAATTCTCTTGGATAAAAATGAAATTATTTAGTATTTTAAATTTAGAAAATTATATAATGAATATGTTTAAAAAAAGATATTAAAATTATTATATTTGACTAGTTTTTTGTTTTTAATTTTTTAAATATTTTTTTTAAATTAATTTTATGAAAAATAGAATATTATTACTTCAAAGATAATTAATAATATTTTTTTTATTTATTATTAATTTATTTCAATTAATTCTTGAAAAAAATAGTTTTAATTTATTATTAAAGATTTATAATCTAAATTTTTAAATTTATTACAATTTAATTTATTAAAAGAAAATTAAATAAAATGATTAATTTAAAATCTCTCATTAAATTTTAATTTTTTATTAAAATTGTTTATTAAAAAATATTAAAAATCATAAATTATTTATTATTTAATTTATTATAAAAATCTTTTAATATTTATTTTATTTATAAAATAATAAAAATAAATTCAAAGTTTTTTTTTTTAATTATATAAATACAAATAATACAAGTAATTATAATACTAATTATATTTAGAAGTTTTATATTTTTCTTTTCTTTTTTTATTTAATTTTCAATTTTAATTTATTTAAGGTTTTTATATAATAATTTAATTATTTTATTCTTAAATATTAATTTCTTTTAATTATTAACTAAAATCAAAAATATTAAAATCTTCTTGATTTAATTGAATTTAATATTTTATTTAATTTATAATTTCTTTCTATGAAAAATTAAGTTATATTATTAGATAATTATAATAAAAATTACTTCTTTTTATATACTAATCTTTTCATTTTATATTTATTTAAGTTATAGAATAATTTACAATTATTAACTTCCTAAAGTTTTTCTTTTTCGCGTAAGTTTTTTTTCGAAGATTCCAATTTCTCCTTTGCTGCTTTTATTTTTTCAAAAGTATTTTATAAATCATTATTTTATATTTATAAACTATTCTTTAAAGAATTTACTCTTTTTTATTTTTTATTTTTTTTAAAAATAAAAAGAATAAATATATATATATATATATATTTATAAAAAATAATTAATACTGATTTAGTAATCTCATATTTTATAATTTTAAGTATTAATTTTAATTTTCAATAAAATGAATTTATTTTTACAATTTTTAAAACTTTAAATCATATTATTATTAATCAAAAAAGCTTTAATATCCTTAATCATTTTCTTTAAATTCTAAGAAATTGTCTTATCCTTTTAGTGTTTAAAGATTAAGTTTAGGCATATCCCTATTTTTGATATATTATTTTTTTTCTTTTTAATGATTCATTTGAATATTATTATTAATTTAAACAATATCAATAAGTTCTAAACTATTATTAACCTCATCAAAATTATCATTAATGTAATTTTAAATTTTGTTTTTCTCATCTTCATAATCATTTTCCTATTCATTTTCTAAATTATTATTGAAAGACATTTCTTTTTTCTAAAAAGCCTATTATTATTTTTTAGTTATGTTTACGTTTTTTTTCTTATGACTGGAATAATACATAAATCTTGAAGTTGGCTTATTTTCTAAAGTATCCAAAAAATTTATCATTTATTAAGGATCATCCTCTATTTTATTTATGCAACTTATATTATTTATTTCTTAATTAAATATAAGATCTTAATTTCCGTTAATATTATTATTTTTGAATTCACTTTATTCATTAATTAAAGTTAAATTACTTATTGTATTATTAAAAGGTTTTTATAAAGGTAAACTGGTAACTTATTCTAAAGATTATTATAGTTAATAATTATTTAATGTAAAATGAGTTATATATTCATCTTTTTATTATTTTTATTTGTTTATTATTTCTTAAAGAATAATATTATTATTTTTCTCGAGAATATAATTATTATTATTTTTAGTGTTTTTCTATAATTAATGGATAAAATTTTATAATATAGTGAATTCTAAATTTTTTTATGTTTCAAAGTTATTAATTTATTATTATTAGTCATATATTTTCTCATTTAATTATTAAACTTAAGTATTTTTAAAAATTTGCTTTTTAAATTATTTACCTTTTTCTGAATTTGATCTTAATTTTAAATAAATAATTTTATTTTTTTCATCCCTAAAAAATCTTGTATTTCTTTCCTTTAATTCTAATACTTATTCTATTTATTCTTTTTATCCTTACCCATAATATGAAGTTGTTAAAATGTCATAGAATTCATTAAATAGATCGCTTTTTATTATATCTTATGCATTTTTAGATTTAAGCTAAACTTCTACAAATTATCTTTTAAACGTTTTTATATATTCAGCTAGAAATTTTTTTTATTCATCAAAAGTTATTTATTCTGATTTTAAATTTATTTAACTTTATTCTAAATCTAAAATTCTTTGTAAATACTCCTCTTTTTCTTCCTATAAAGTTTATATTATATTATTTAAGTTTCTTATTTCTGTAGTTATATAATTTTCCTATTTTAATAAAATTATAAGCAAATAATTAAATAAAAAGTACATTTTTTTATCTGTCTATTAATGAATCAAATTAGAATTTTTTATCATTTCTTCTTTCTGAAAAAGTGTTTATTTGAGTTGATAAATCATCAAAAAGAATATTATGTTATTTATTTGTATCTTATTTTATATCTTTTATATTTATGTTCATAAGAAAAGTAAATTTAGAAAAAAAAATAAAAAAATACCATAATATTCTGTTAAATATTTATCTTCATTATTTTTATTTTAAATAAATTAATTAATTGCATCATATAGTTATTTTTTAAGTTGATATTTTTCAATAATATTTTGATTGTTTGTATATCTATATATATATACTAGATTAACTAATTTGTCAATTTTCTGATTTATTTTTTGCATTTTATTAAAATCTAACTTTAACTATTATATTGTTAAATATTAAATTTTTAGTTTATTTTTTATTATAAAATTTTAAATTTAAATGCTAATGTTTTTATTAAAAAAATAATAAATATATATAAAAAAAATTATGTAATTCAAAAATAATTTTTTATTTTATTGAATTCTTTACTTTTATTCTTAAAAAAAATAAAAAATATTAGAGATTTATATTTAATAAAAAATAAAATTATTTAAAATAATAAATTATATAAATATATATAATATAGAAAATATGGAAACTAATCAATTTAATGAATCAGAATTCAAAAAATTTATATAATAAGTAAAATTCGAATTATAATCATTATGCCAAGGCGTTGATATACAAAAAAATACTGAAAAAATAATTGAATATTATATATCAGCCCCAAATCGTTTGACAAAATTATTATGTTATTCTTTATTAAAAAGTCTCCCAAACATAGATTTATAATAAATATTTTCCTCAATATCATAAGATTTAATAAGTAAAGATAACGAAATATAATTAAATACTATGAAACTGATGTATATGATGGGCCATTAATAAGCTTTAGAAATATTAAAAAATAATGAAAAATAATTTTTCGAAATATTAAAAAATAGCGAATTTCATTTCGAAAGAATCGCAATATTGCACAGTTTTTTAATAAAAGCTTATATAAAAAACTTTTCATCAGAAGATAATTGTATAGAATAAATACATTAAATATATATAGCTATTGCCGAATAAATATTTGAAGTAAACCGTGATATAACAAGAAACTCAATTGAAGTATTTTTATATATAAATAGTAAAATAAAATCATTATTTTATTTTTAATAAAAAAAAGGTTTTCATAAGTTTGTTTAATTAATATTTTATGAATTGCACTGATTTTAATTCAATTGATTTTTATTTTGATGGAAACGGACAAGTATAAGAAATTTTAAGACCATTAATAATACGAGTTACTAATTATTTAATGCAAAGAATAGAAAGTTTAATAAATAAAGTAATAGGCTACGAAATTCGCCTTCGATCGCATTTAATAAAACTTCCAGTTTTTTTAATTGAAATAATCGTCTCATTTTCCAAAACATACTCTCATTATACATACACTAATAGTTATTTTAATATAACAGAGGAAGATTTAATTATAAAAAACAAATATGAACAAAATATATCCTTAAATTCTATTTATACATAGCTTTTGGAAAAAAATCTTCTAGAAGATTTATTAAAAAGTACTTTTGAATAAGATGTATTAATTAATTCTTACACTAGTTTTTTCCGTTTATTATTCTTAGGCGAAAAATTATTCCTTTCATATCATAAAAGATGTAATTTAATATGGGAAATATTCAGTAACTTCGTAAAGGTGATAAATAAAAGTTCATATAAAAAAGAATATAATATAATATTAATAAATATGTCGTTACTTGCATTAAAAACATAAAATACACATAAAATAGCAATTTCAATGAAAATACTAGAAATAGTTTCTTCTGCTGGTTCTTTATCAAATTAATACTCACGTTTTTTTTTAATGAAAATATGTTTTTATAATTTAATTTCAGCCTCAGTTTTTTTACTTTAGTAAAATAAACAAAGTTGCATTTTTTCACTTTTTAATTAAAAATGGTTTTATTAGAAACTCTAAAGTGATGACGAAAATAATCAAAAAATCGACTAATAATAAATTAAAGAAGAGCTTTTGATTTCTTTAATTGTTTCAGCCTTATATTTTAGATTAGAAAATCCTTAAAAAATCCATTAATAAGCTTAATAATAAGTTTTTTTGGAAATACTTGATATATCTTATAGAATTATAAATTGGAAATATTAAATAAAACAATCCCCAAATGATACTTATAATAAAACAATTAACCTTTCAATTGATTTATATTTAGTTTTATTAGAAGAAAGCTTTGAGTCTTTAAACGTTTCATTTTTAGTTATTAGGCTAAATGAATTAATTAAAAGAATTAATTTAAGTGAAATCAATTTCTTTCCGAAAATAAAACTTCTTTATTTGATTTGTAAGAAATATTCAAGCTTATTACTAAATAATAATTTAGAACAAATCAATTATAATTTAATTATTTAAGATTTCCAAAATTTTTTAAATTAAAAATGTAGTTCTTCCATCTTTTTTGAAAAAGCCTCTTTTTAAGAAATAAATCGCTTTTTGACTTGTTTCGAGTATATTTTTAAAATTTTTTTTTTTTTCCAATTAAAATTCCCTCTTTTAAAAGAAATAATAATGAACTATCTTTTAAATTTTCGTTAATAACTTGACTAACTTCTTGTTTCTAAATAAAAACAGCTAATTTTCCAGCCTATAATAAATGCAATAATTGAACACACAAATTTACTCCAAAAATACATTTTAGAAGAAGAAGAGGAATAACTAAGTTTAAAAATAGACTCGAATCTAAAAATTTCTAGAGATTTTTTAGAAAACACAAACACAGAATTCGAAAAGAAGTAAAAATTTATAACTTTTGATCCTAAAGACTTATTATTTCTATCCTTTAATACATTCCATTAATAAATTTCTAAAAGGTCTTCCTTTTTTTTTTTCGTTTCTGATTTCCCAGAAAGTGAAAACCCGATGAAATATATTTCTTTTAACAATCTTTGCTAAACCTCTTAAAAAAATTCAGAAGATGAAAAATAAATGGAATTATCAAACGCCAATTTAAATTTATTCACAAATCCTATATTAATAACTGGGATAAACGATTTTATATAAATAATGACTTCTCACTCTATATTTCCTTACAAAAATCTACTTTCAATAAATTTAAGAATATTTAATTCTACTCAATTTAAATTAGATAATTTAAAAATCAAAATAATTCATTCAAACTCATTATCTCTTTTTCCCATTAATTCCTCAGCGAATCCTTCTGAAATTCTCATTGAAGAATTAAATCCAATTAATGTTAAAAATTTAAGTTTTTGTCTAAATGTTAATTAAGTAGAATCTTTATTTATTACTTTTGAAATTTAACTTCTGAATGATATAATTTTTAAAACAATACCTTATAAAGTACCTTTGATTCATTTTCTTATCCCAAATTATATTAATATTCTTAGTAAGAATTTATTCCTTTCTATTTATTCGAGTTTGCCTAGTCTTTATTAAACTAAAGCTTATTTATATGTAAAATTAAATAGACTTATCAAAATATTAAATTAATCATAATTTTCAGCTTTTGTTATAGAAGGAATGGATTTCTAAACAGCTTCTGAAGCTTTTTTTTCTTAAAAAAAAACGTTCTTTTGTAAAACGAAGATCATAACGATCAAAATGTGAATATTGGAATGCTCAGTTTTACATGGGATGGTGCTATTTTGGCAATTTTATTGAATGGGATTAATAATAAGAAAATAAGTTAGTAAAATGCTGTTATTTCTGTTGAAATAAAGAGCTCTTCGCAAAAAATAATGGATATTATTAAAAATGATATTGATGATTTTTTCGATTAATTATTTAAGTAAAATATTAGTATAATTATATGAAATTTTAATTTTTTTATATTTAAGAAATAAATAAATTATTTATATTTTTCTTTGCAAAAAAAATAAAAATCATTATTTTTTTTCTATAATTTCATATTCTTCTTAAAGTTAATTTTATTTTATCTTATTTGCAAATTTTTCCAATTCAGATTTATATTTTTAAATGTCATTAAAATTAAGATTTTATTAATCCAATATATTTTCGTAAATTTTAACAATTTCAATTAATTCTTTATTTTATTTCTTCATTCTTTCAAAATCTTCCAGTTATTTATTTTTCTACATAATTTCTTTACTTAGTCTTTAATTTTATTAAATTTATTAAGTATGCAATTCATAAATATTATCTCTTTTATTAAATATAAATATAAATAAATTAAAAATTTACTAATTAAATTTGCATTTATCCTGAAAAATATTATATTTGTCTAAAAGCTCTTTATGATAACAAAAAAAATACTATTCCCAAACTTTAAAATTATTAATAGAAATATCAACAATAAGAATATCATCAATTACTCCATTTAAATAAAAAGGATTTAAATATTTTTCTTTTTAATTATTTAAAAATACCCATAAAGAATCAGTTTCTTCAAAAACTTAATTATATTTCATTTATTGATAATTATTACAAAGAAAATTTCCAAACTTACAACTATACAAATGAAAAGCAATATCAACTAAAAAAATCTAATTAAATTCAAAAGAAAGTGGAAATTATAAAATAATTTAATGTACACAATCAAGAAATTAAATAAAAATAGGAGAAAACTCTCCTTCAATATTTTTCTATCCATGCCCTAATCTATGAAAAAATTGATGTCCGAAACAAATCCATTCTTTATCTACTAAACTCTAAAAACCTTTGATTGTTCTATAATACGGATCTATTAAAATTTAACTTAAGCTTACTAATTAAGCTGTTCTATCCCATCCATCTGAACAATGAACAACTACATTTATCCCTTAAATTAATGAATTAACTATTCTATTAATTCCACTAAAAATTCCTTATATATGCTCTAACCAACTTGTTAATTGTATATTGATTAGATACTGTTTCTAATCTATTTCTCTAGTTGCTTTTTACATTTCTATATATGAATATCTCATTTTATGTATATTATGAATTCCTAAAAATATTAATTAGCAATTATCATAATAATCTGTATTTTCGTAACCTTTCCCTTATACTCTATTTACAAGTGCATTTATTTAAGGTCTTGCATCATATATATGTACATTTATATCTAGTTTTTTTTTTTTTTTTAAAAAAAAAAAAATCCTTATATTTTTATAAATTATTATGATTCTTTTACTTTGTTTAGATGTTTAACCTATGTATTTAAATAATTATTCATCTTGTAAATTTCTAGACAATATTCCACTTAAGCATTAAGCACATCTCCATAGAGTAGTTATTTAATTATTCTTTTTAGTATTTTTAAATCCGTAAGATAATACTGGAATTCTTTATCTAGATCGAAATTATTTTATTGAAGTTATTTCTTCATCTTTTAGTCTTTTTGGTACAACAATCAAATTTGGATAACTATTACACAATTCTCCGTTTTCATTATCTAAAAATTTAAATAAATATTGCTTTTACTATTAATATTACAATTATAATTTTTCTTTTATATTATAATCCTTATCCTTATTATTTTATAAACTTTAACAATTATTTTAAGCATTACAATATTCTTAAATTATCTCGTTCTTATAAAATTATTTATTATTTTAATCAATAAATTAGATAAATTAGGATTCGTTTTTTTCACTATTATAACCTATTTATTAAATAATATTATAATATAAATTATAAATATTATTATCTGAATTACTATTATCGATTTTATTTTCGATTCGCATATTTAAATTATTATACTATTCTTATTAAATACTCTGAAAAGGCTCTATACAAATATCCATTCTTTTATATTCTTCCTAAATATTAAATTTCCATGTGTTTTCTTCATTTTCTTTATTTAATTAAAAACTCTTCTAAAAAAATGCAGGGAGTTAATTAATTTCTTTTTTAAATACAAATTCTATTATCTTACAATTTATTTTTAATGTTTATTCTATTTACTGTTTTTCAAAATAAAATTAAAATTCTCTTCCGTCTTTACAAAATATTTGAATATAATGCTATATGCTTGTATTTTTTTAATCTACTGCACGATTTAAGTTATATATAAACGTATAAAGAGTATAGTAAAAATCGATTGAATAAGCAAGATTCTGCAAATTTTCATTGCTTGGTAAAAAAACTAACTAAAATAATCAAATATATATAAAAATTTTTAAAATATTTTATATTTTTAAACTTAAAAATTTGTTAAAACTAATTTTCCTTCAATTGTTTTGTTTCCTTATTAAAGCCTCGTTTTTATTTAATCCTAATATAGTTCACCATATTCAATATTTTTTTCTTATAAACCTAAGTTTACTAGATAATCTTTTTACTATTTGAAAAAGTCTCTGTCCTTAAAAAAGGAATTATATTTTAATAAATTAAAAGTATATTTTAATAATTTTTTTTTATTTTATTTTTGTAATTTTTTTTTTTAAAAAAAAAAAAAATCAATAAAAAAAAAGGCAGTCATCTATTATTTCTTACCTTTTTTTTTGTTGATTGAGTTTTTTTTTTTAAAAAATACAGAAAAAATAAAAAAGCATAATAATATTTTTATTTTTTGTTACATTTTATATTAAAGAATCCATTTTTTTTATTTTTTTATTCTTTGATTATATATATAATACAGAATTAAAAATTTTTATATAATTATTTATGAGTAATGATATATATTAAATATTAATTAAACATATAAATAATTATTTTTTTATTTAATATATATATATACTAATTAATTTATTAATATAATATTTATAGTCAAAATTATCATATAAAAAAACAATAAAAAAAAAATGTAATAAGATTTTAAATCTTTTTATAATTTTGCAAAGCATTTGCCTTATGAATTAACACTTAACCAAAATTAAGAGAATTAATAAAGTAATAACAATAATAATAAGAAAAATAATCAAAAGAAGATAGAAGTAAATACAATTTAAGCACCAGAGAATATAAATGGTAAATCAATAAATGAATTAAAAGAAAGCCTTAAAAATAAAATCAAAGAAGCAAAATAAAAAACTAAATCGAGAAATCCAAATAAAATAAAAAAAGGAATTTAAAAACAAAGTGTAAAATCAGAAAAGAGCCAACAAAAAATTAAACAAAATCAGATACAGATAAAATAAAAATAATAAACAACTAAAATTAATAATAACTAAAAATAAAAAAATTAAAACTAAAATTAAAATAATGACAACAAGAAAAATATTAAAAATAAAATAAAAAAATAAAAATAATTTAAGCCAAAAAATAAATAAAAAAATAGAGCAGGTTTTGAAGGCTAAAGAAATAAGCCTTTTAAACACAGATGAAAAATAAAATAAAAATATTTAAACATATTTTTTATATATTTTATGTTATTTAATTTTTAAAATATATTTATTACAATTTAAACTTATTAAAAGAAAAAGAATAATAATATAGTATTTAAAAAAAATAAAATATTAAAATATGTATAATAATAATAAATATATATATATATATATATATATTATATATATATATATAAATTTATTTATATTATATATTTATTCATATGTGCATAAGCCATTAATATTATTTTTGATATTTTATATATAATATATTATAAAAATTTATCTATATTTTCATATTTTAGTAAATTTTTATATTAAATTATATAAATGTATTTTATCTATTTAATTATAATATATATATTTATATATATATAAATTTAAAATTTAAATAATTTATTAATATAAAAATTAATAATATATTTTATTTTTTATAATATTATATAATAATATAAATATGTATATATTATATAATTTAATATTTTTTATATATAAAATTATATTATATACATTATTATTTTTATATAAT